CCCCCCCCCCCACTTTTCTTTTTGGAAGTATATGACCTTAAGGTTGAAATGTAAGGTGAAAAGCTAGAAAATTTTAAATCATGTTGATGTAGTCATCATGCTTCTTAGATCTTTTACTATCCTGAGGCGGCAAATTTTTTGTTCAAGAGTTGAGTGATTCTTCAGAATTTTGTTGACTTTTTGGATTTGATGTGTTGTCAGTTGAATTAAATGATAACCGCAGTTTCTTTCTTTCTTTCATTATGATTTTTTTTTTTTTTCAATGTTTGACAGGTTATCAGTCGAGTTGGTGATTTGATTGGTATAAAGTACTTCCCCGCGGAGGCCCAGAAGCAGGAGCACGAAAAAGATCCTCATAAGGTAGATTAGAAAGAAAGGAAAAGAAAGAAAACGGAGTCGAGAAGAAATTGTTTTTATGTGTTTGATTAATGTTAGTAGCAGGAGGTTGTTGTGAAGCCAGCTCCTCACATACTTGTCCAAGCAGGGGAGGGGAAGGTAGAGACCACTTCGTTGTGAATAGTGGAATTTTTTCGAATCTGTATCTCTTGAAGTTTGTCCCCATATGTGACATGCCATCTTCATGAATTTTGGTATATCAATGCTACGAGATTACCTGATTGCAAATGATTTAGATTTCTGACTTTTGTTTCTTGTGATTATTTTTCCTAAATGTTCTCTCATGTACGGTTACTATCATTGATTTTCCTTTTTCCCTTTTTGTAGTTATTTCCAAGAAAATAAGATACCTTATTATTAATAAACATCGACGGAATTTGGTTGGTTCCCAATAAAATGGAGACTAAGAGGATCGGTTAATCTGGGAGTAACGAGAATGGTCTGGTGTGGCATTCTATTTCGAGTGAACTCTGCTAATATATTTAGAATACATAATGCAGAGCAGAGCAGAGAAGAGCAGGGGGAAGGCTCCCAAAGGTTGTTCTGTTATGTCCTCCTCGGTGAGCATATCGTTTGGCCGGGAAAATGTACTCAACCAAACATCTACTGACTCCAACTAGTTGAATTCGGGAAATGAAACTCATCCACCAAGGGGATTGGCTTAAGATCTTCAACAAACCAAAAACTGGCCTGAATCTACTGCTGGTCTTCAAAGTGTAACTAATATAGATTGTAGCTCGACCTCTTCATCTCTCTGGGAGATGGAGACTAGCAGCATTGTTTGGTGTGCAAGCAAGCCCATGAGCCACCACACTCGGCAAAATAACTAATGCAGTTGTTGTACTACTTCGAGACGAAGAATCTTCCGAAAGGTCATATACTATAGTATACTAAGACGAGAGGCAGGGGAAGGAGTTCAGTGACATCACAGAATGGGGCAAGAAATGGTTGTTTATTTTGGGTTGTTTTGTATCCTGTAGCAACCACAGCGGTCCTCTTATTTCAATCAGAAATAAAAAGATTTATGGGGAAAATTGCAGTAGAGGAGAAGATGTAAGCACTAAAATCAGAAATATGAAAGAGTAACAAAAGAAGGTTCAGTGTCCAATACGAGAAAATGCAGCAAAATGGGTGAGAGAAACACAAGTTTGAGTGAGATACATTGCATTTTTTGGGATACATTTGAGACCAAAACTCTATGAAAATCCCTTCCCTAACTTCTGGATTGCGCAGTACATTTTTCTCCGGGACCCAACTGCAGTTATTCCCATATCCTTGAGATCCTCGAGTGTCAACATTGGCAAAACCTCATCGTCCACCTCGTGAATTTCAAAAACTGGAGCATACCGACCTAACCCTAAGCCGTTGAGCCAAACTCTAACCCCGTCTTCCCCACATACTCCTCTCCCACTATTCCCATTCCTATCACCGCTAGTCCCGCATTTCCAATTCCTCGCGTCCGTATCCGAAGGCCCTGAAAATTCCAGCCCTTCTTGCTGCTCCCTGCCCTCCGAAACCCTAGACCGGATACATCTTCTATTCCCCTGATAAAGCATCTCCCTTTCGTTCCCCTGACCTTCTATCCCCAAATTCTCAAGCGAATGCATTGAGCTCTGCTCTTTCAACGGACTTTCTGAGTTCTCAATTTCGTAATCCCGATACCCCTCATCCACATCCTCCCCCCCGCTGTACTTTTCATCGCCTTCCCGTTCCCCACCTCCTCCGCCTTCGTCGTGCTTCGAGGATACCCAATTAGTCCTCACCCTCTTGGTGCCCGCGGAGGCTCTCCGCTTCGAATCCTTTAACCTCCAGCTCCCAATTGCAACACTATCCAAATTGTTCTCTTTGTCTTCGCCATCTACGGTCTCCTGAAATTCCCCGGCCGAGCTCAAGTTGGTCAAGGGACGAGTTTTAGAGTTCTTGGCAGAGACAGCGGCGTCCTTGCGATTTTCCAAACCAAACTTCCAGGGCTTATTCGTGCGGCGAGCATGGGAATCGTAGGGCTGGTCGCCGCCGATATCCCCCAATCGGACGCTAGGCCTTCGCTGGCGTTTGGATCCAACGGTTTCGGAGGAGACGACGAGAGGGGCAGGACCGCCGTTCATCTGGGCGTCGGGGGGTTGAACATCTGCCATTAGCTAGAAGGAGGAGGGATGATTCGAAATAGGAAGGAATGCAGTGAGAAAAAAGAAGAAAAGGGGGAAAAGAGGTTGGTGGTTAGTTTTTGTGGGTTGAGACTTGAGAGACGAAAGAAAGGGAAGGAGGAATGAAGAAATAGAAGAAGAGAGTGGAGGAGGGAAGGAAGGAAGGAAGGAAGGAAGGAAGAAGCGAGGGAGTGGTGGAATAAGGGCGAAGGGCGAAGGGCGAAGGGGGAAACATGCCCTGTAAATCGCCGCGTGTCTTCATCATCGGATTTGGCCCCTTAGATTTGGGCCTCCCTTTCTGGATATTTGCTTACCTCTTCGTATTCTTAATTTGGGTAACTCAGGAACCCTAGTTTTGGGCATTTTTCTTTATATTTTCTTTCCCATTTCTATGCACAACCATATTGACATTGATGAACACAAAACAATGACATATAAGGAGGCCCTCTATGATCCTTTCAAATGATACTTGATAGAATTACATCAATCATGATCGATTGTATCAATCATGTTCAATTGTCTATTACTTTTGTAGGAAGAGCAACACTTAGAAATTGTCACCCTCAAGCCACCCATCATTTCATATACCAACAAATACTTCTTTTGTAGGCATAGTTGAACCTATTGTTATCTTTCTTATCTCTTTGGATCTTGAGTGTTTGACATGTGCACCTAATCAATTTGATGATTTCTCCCAGATTACTAGCGGTCATTTGTAGAAATGAAGCTTAGAAGAATATTTAACTTGAGTTGTTATAAATGGTATCAGAGCTAGTTACTGAACGGTGTGAGGCACTAGTCGAAGTAAAACTAGACCCTCTACATAGTAGACGCATTTTAAAACCTTGAGAGGAAGCCGAAAAGGAAAAGCCCAAGACAATATCGGCTAGCGGTTGGTTTGAACTGTTATAAATGGTAGGTTATAAATGGTATCAGAGCCAGATACCGTGCGGTATGCCAGCAAGGACGTTGGCCCTCAAGGGAGTGGATTGTGAGATCCCACATTAATTTGAGAGGGGAATTGAATTGTGAGATCTCACGTTAGTTTGAGAGGAGAACGAACCATTTCTTATATGGGTGAGAGAATTTCTCTCTAGCATATGCATTTTGGAACCTCGAACCTTGAAAGGAAAAGTCTAAAAAAAAGTGCTTATTCAGTCGAAAACTCCAATTTTATGTAAGAAGAATCAGAAGCATTTCCATTTCCCAAGGCTTGGAGCTACAACCATCCGCCTTTGTTGGCAGTTAGGGTGCACAAACAGGCTCCCCCCTTGACTTGTTGGCGGCAGGAGCAGTGGTAGCGCCACCAGTTGTTGGCCTACAAGATCAAGCAAATCACATCTTGTGAGTACTAACAAGTTAAATGCAACTGTGGAGATATGAAAGATCAAGCCAAAAAGACGTACAGCAATCTCACTCCAAGCTGCAGGGATTTGCTACACTGCTCTTTAGGCCTTGGGATGGCACAAGTGTACAGCCTCTCAACAATTGTTTGGAAAGAGGCAAATTTCATCATGGTATCTGCAAAACCCGCCCCAAGTTTATGGTCCAACATTATCCTCTTGTTATTCATGGAGGATCGTTGAGGAGGAAGGGGCAGTGGTTAAGGGATTTTGATGCTCAAACTTACATGGAATCTGTCAGACGCCCCCAAAGAGGAACCAGGCCTTTGTAGAGCCTGCAAAAGAAGACGGACAAGCAGAGAGAGATTTTGAAGTTATTAGGAGGAACAATGCATACTTTCATTATTGAATTTAATTATTAGTGTCGTAAATCATACCCAAGAGCACCTTCAGAATTGACCTCAGAGTTTGGACGCCAACTTTGACGGCCTCCATGGGGCAAAGAGCAACATCGGCAATGACTTCTGCAGACGCTGAAGCAGCAAGGTATATGAAAGTTTTGTAGTTGGCTGCATTCTCTGTTCCAACCATGTAAGAATAGTAGTTCTTGAAGAACTCGTAGGATCCAAACTTGCAGGCACCCTGAGCACTGTAACCGGGCAAGGTATTCTTGTACTTTGTTGGGTCGATCTAAAATTTGGAATGTATATTAAAAGAACATGGAGCTAGAAATACATTTTAACTATTTGTTGAGTGGATTATGGGATAAGTATTAGGAGTCCATCACGTTCATATTACTTCTGAGAAGACCTCGCTAACCATCCTATCCTTGTGAAGCACATTTCCTGGTTTTTGCACCTAAAACAGTTTTACATCACCAAAAAGGAAAGTGTAGGTGAGCCTGAATTATCCCAAAATCTCACATTGTCGAAGGCGGTGTCTTAACCCTTTCTTCTGCCCTAATAAGCGAATCTAAATGCACACACACACACACACCAGGGTCCAGTTCATAAAAGAACTGACTAAGATAAAATTATATCCCAAAGAAGCCACATCCACAGGTTCATAATATTAGGCAAGGCACATGGTTATGCCAGAACTTGCCAGGGATATATATATATATATATATATAATATTGTAAAGCTTAAGCAATTTGCCAGGGTTTCTGGGTAGGGGATGGAAAAAAATACATATACTATTTAAATCAATATAACATTAGGCAGCGAAACAAATGATGTTATGCCCCCGTCATTGAGCATCCCTCTCCATCTAAAAGGCGTTATTCAGGTACAAGTACAACCCTACAAGTGCCACGATTCCCACTGCAGCAGCTATGGGCAGCACCTTCCTATACCATTTTACGTGATATCGATCAGATACACAATAAATAGTCATTCAAATCCCTATGATCACTTATGAAGATTGTAATTTGAGTTTCCATCTTACCCAATAGCTTCATCTTTCTGGATCTGTGCCTTTCTCGCCTTCCTCGTATCAAATTCGTTAGCATTTTTAGTCACAGATTGCTCATAAGGCCTAAATCGTCGCTTAGGAGCACCACAAACTGTCAAGGCATGATCATCAATATTAGATTTCAGTTTCTTTATTGAACTGGAGCTGAATGTAAATGATTCGAAGTTGGTTTCAAAGACAAGAAGATACTTTGTGTTCTTTAAGTTATGTTTCTTTGGTTCTTGTAGATTTATTTTTGAACTTTTCTGTTTACAATTATAGCAGGAACTTATTCTTTTTTTTTTTTTTTTTTTTTTTTTTTTAAAGGCGACTCAGCGTCAACAATAAACTAACTGGTCCTATTGAACAGAGAACTTTTGGAATCGATTTGAAGTGGTAGACTCGAGAACTACATGAAATTAAGTTTGGGAAGATGCAGTTGCAAACAAGAAATAAAAAACGCAGGTCAATATCATCCATGCCTGAGAAAGGAAGAGGAGGGAAGCAAATTACCAGGACAGAAATACTTATCAGGCAATTTTTCAAAAGGCGTTCTATCGTTGTAAATGTACCTGCATATTCATATTCATGGAAAAGAGAGCGTGAAGAGGGAAACAAAGATGTAAATAAATTAGGTTGAAACGCAGAGAGGAAGGAGAGATACCCGCAATCACGACAGATATAGGCTTGTTTGGACGCGACGCGCATGGAGACCTTGGGGGCAGCTGCAACAGCAGAGTTTTGCTTCCTTAAAGAAGGAATGTTACGTAAAGGAGAGAAGAAGGAGGATTTCAAAGATAAGAAGCTGGAGTGCCTATCAGCGCCGCCGTCTTCCTTAAATAAATCACAAGCAATTATGATAGATAACAGAAATGAATTAGATTGAAAAGATGGAGCAATGCAAGTGTAAATGAAGGAGCAGATTAAGAGAGAAAACCTGGTAGATCTTGGAATGTTGGTTGGGCGGTAGCTGGAACCTAAGAGAGGTAGCTGAAACAGAGGCCATTGGAGGTAATAAGAGAGCAGAGCAGAGGAGAGAAATTTGAAAAGGGGAAATGTGAAGCAGAAGGAAGGGGAGGAGGAGATATCGATAGGGGGATCGTGGGTGTGGGTTGGGCGTCGTAGGCGAGAGAAACTCAGAAAGAGTGGGTGAAGTGGTGAATCTATGAGTGGCGGACAATCAACGATCTCAATCTTCCCAATCATTTTTATCCTATCCTATCTCCCTCTCCAAACTTACGGACTCGCCAATTCAACCTTTTTTTCTCTGTTCATTTTTTTCCTTATCTTTTAAATCATACTATAACTAAGCTTCTTTTTTTTTTCTTTTTTTTTCATTTAAATATAATTCCTCCCTGAGCAGAGCACCCTATTTATTTAACACGATCCCCTCCCTCTCTTTCACATTTTAATGCTACTCTCTATCTACTTCTTCAGCATGCCCCTACAATTGGGGTTGCCTGTTCAATTACCTTTAGAAACAACATGACAGCAGTAAGTAGCTCATTGAAGCTTCATCGGCAAAAATCACACAGAAAGCTCTCATCTGGGACCGTACACACAGCAATGACCATGGAAATACAGAAAGCTTTGACAGCTCTGGAAATCGTCGTGGTGGAAACGTGAGCCCCACCAAGAGTCGATCTCTTCTGATCTTGGATGAATAGGCATATGGAATCGAATTACTAATGTAAGTGCAAACAGTGTCGTGTCGGCCCAGCATGGGGTCTCTTTTAGTGCAAACAGGTGACCACGCCATGAATCACTTGTTTTCGTTTCTACTGCATGAGCAAGTACAGTTACAATGTTTGGCCAATTCTTCTCACTTGGAAACCTAGAAAAAGTCGTAAAATATAGCTTTCTAGGGACTTCTTATCTAGGAAGGTTCTTCTGTTTTCCTTTAAATAGTCCAACTTGAAGAAGAGAAAAAACACAAGTAACAAATCAGCTATACTACCAGATCCACAACCAGCTGCATCCAATAAGAAGCAGACTACAAGCCATTAAATTAAATAAGAGGAAGTGCATAATACATTTTGTAAACTGGTAAGATTGCTATTATCTCTATGAACTAAAATCGTCTACCTTTACACGGTGATAGCATCGGGCAAGGACTCGGGGGCACCACTGCTGCCGTTGAGCACTGTCACGTTTCCATCTGAATCAACATCCACTATTACTGAGTCGCCCTCCTTGATCTCCCTCGCCAGCATCTTCTCAGCCATGCTGTCCTCCAAAAGTCTCATGATTGCCCTTCGTAATGGCCTCGCACCATAGCTTGGGTTATATCCTTCCTCAACCACCCTATCTCTAAATCTCTCTGTCACTTGAAGTTCAACTTCTTTTGCTTTTAATCTATCAAATACCTCCTTCAGCATTATATCCGCAATCTCCTTCACCTCCAGCTTAGTGAGCTGACGGAAGACAATCATCTCATCCAACCTATTCAGAAACTCAGGCCTGAAGTACTGTTTCAGTTCCTCTGTCACCAAGCTCTTGATTCGGTTATAACTACTATCCTTCTCATCATAATCAAGGTCAAACCCTATTCTGCGACCTCCCTTCTCTATAACACTGCTTCCCACGTTTGATGTCATTATCAGAAGTGTATTCTTGAAGTCTACAGTTCTGCCCTTGCTATCCGTCAACCTTCCATCCTCCAAAATTTGAAGCATCATATTGAACACATCAGGATGAGCCTTCTCAATCTCATCAAAAAGCACCACTGTGTATGGACGACGACGAACAGCCTCAGTTAATTGACCACCCTCTGTGTAACCAACATAACCAGGAGGGGAACCAATGAGCTTGGAGACGGTATGCCTTTCCATAAATTCACTCATGTCAAGGCGAATCATTGCTTCTTCAGAGCCAAAATAGTACGCAGCCAATGCTTTTGCCAACTCAGATTTACCAACACCCGTTGGACCAGAAAATATAAAGCTTGCAATTGGACGATTGGGATTCTTGAGACCAACACGAGCTCGACGTATGGCACGGCTGATGGCTTTAACTGCTTCATCTTGACCAATGACCCTCTTATGGAGGGTTTCTTCCATTTTGAGGAGCCGGTCAGATTCGTCAGTAGATACTTTCTCGACAGGAATGCCTGTCCAGGAGGAAACAATATGCTGAATATCAACTTCGGTCACAACAGGGCCAACATCTCCTGCCTCACTTTCAGCCTTGCTCATCTCCTTGCCCTTATCAACTAGAGCAGAGATCTTAGTCTTAAATTCCATTTCTCTATCACGCAATTCTCCAGCCTGTTTAAAGTTCACTAAGTTTCATTAGCTAGAGTTGAATCAACTATTAAAATGGCATGGCAAGCTTAAAAATATAACCAACATGCAGTTCCAGAAAACGAAACCATAAAATTCTGCATCAGGGAAGAAAAATTAAAGAGAACAAATTTACCTTCTCAAAGTCCTGACTTCGAACAGCCTCATTCTTCTCCTTTGTGATCTGCCTCAGCTCTTTCTCAAGCTCTCTAGCTTCCTCAGGTAGCTGCAAATAACATTAAAATTGTAGCATAATCACATAGGAGAGCAAGAGGAATGGAGAAGTTGCACAGATGATGAGAATGTACTTGCGCATGACGAAGGCGAACCCGAGAACCAGCTTCATCAACCAAGTCAATTGCCTTATCAGGCAAGAATCGATCACTGAAATTTACAGTTATACATCAAAACACACCTTCCACAAATGATTAGGAAAAGTAACTTGGATCTTAGGTAATCATATCAGCCAATAGAGACGTGACAAGGTAGATTTGAACCAAGATGGGTGCATGCAGTCAAAATGTTTTTCCCTCTTCCAAGTCCTATAGATGGATGTTTAAGAGAGAGAAGATAAAAGAGAGAAGGAAAAAAAAAACTGAATCAGGTGCCTCAGCACCATGCTGAAATCATCAGGCACACCTCGCTTTGAAGACAATGTTTCAAGGTCCCCTAGTGCTTCCAAAAAGCTTCCTCAGAAAACATAAACGGGAAGGCATAGCTCCATGAGCAACCTATAAATTACTAAGGTCCCACAGTACTTCCAAAAAGCTTTCCCCACCAAAAAAACATAAACAGAAGGCATAGCTCCATGAGCACCCTATAAATTACTAATCTCAATCATCAATCACACACCTGCACACCCATACAGGTTGTAGAAAAAAGAATTCGTACAAAGTTTGCTCCACGGATCCAGAATAGATATTCAAACAGGATGTGTGGTCTCTTCTTTTCACATGCATAAAAAATGACAACCTGTACTAGTCCAAGCTCACCGCTAGCAGATATTGTCCGCTTTGACTAGTTATGTATCGCCGTCAACCTCACGATTTTAACATGTGTTTGTTAAGAAGAAGTTTTCACACCCTTATATGGAATGTTTCGTTCCCCTCTCCAATCGAGGTGGGATCTCATAGTCCACCCCCCCTTGGAAGTCCAGCATTCTTGTTGGCACACCGTCTGATGTTTGACTTTGATACCAATTATAACAGCTCAAGCTCACCACTAGCATATATTGTCCGCTTTGGCCCATTACGTATCACTGTCAACCTCACAATTTTAAACCCGTCTATTAAGGAGAGGTTTCTGCGTCCTTATAAGGAATGCTTCGTTCCCTTCTCCAATCGATGTGGGATCTCACACAACCCATTACTGAAGTTGTTGAGCATGAAGATAAGAAGTATGGCAGACACAATCAAGAATATTTTCATCTTGATACTTCATCAACACTATAAGCTTTTTGCAACAGACATGTTGTCAGAATCACTCAATAGTAACATACCTGATGTACTGGTATGACAGTTGTGCAGCAGCTACTAATGCTTCATCCGTGTATCGAAGTTTGTGGTGGATTTCATAGCGCTCTCTAAGGCCTTTCAAAATCTGTATGGTTTCATCCACAGACGGTTCCGGCACTTTGACGGGCTGAAATCTCCTTTCCAAGGCCGGATCTTTCTCAATGTGCTTCCTGTATTCATCCAATGTTGTGGCTCCAATGCACTGTAAAAATAGAGAACCAGCTAATTAGATAATACTGGGAGTCGAGAAATATAAGGTCCAACTCCAAAAGACACATTTTAACAAATGATTGAAAACTACTAGCCGGTAAGGTGAAAAAAAAAAAAAAAAAAAAAAA